GGAGAGGGGAGGGAGGAGGGACAGAGAGGGGTAGAGAGGGGAGGGGACCCCGTAAGGTGCAGACTGTGAAGCTCAAAGCCCGAAGGTGTTCTGACACACAGACCAGCAGATGGCGTAGCCAGGCCTGGGTTCTGCGGAGCGCTTCACAGCCCTCGTGGCCTGCACTGAGTCCTTGGAGCTTGTTTCTAGAGATGTCCTGAGCAGTCTAGGGACAGGGCGGCCGCCAGCCGCTCCGGACAGGTTCCGGCAGTTACCTCATTCTTTTCCCAAAGCGTCAGCTCCTTCTTTGACCGCTCCAGCCTCTGGGACCGGTCCACCACGAAATAGATGAGGTAGATGCTTCCCGCGAGGGACAGGAGCACCAGGGTGTTGGCCACGATCCGCAGGCCGATGGTCACTGCCCTGGGGAGAGAGGCGGCCAGGAGGAGCCTGGGAAACCGAGGCGCACCAGGGAGCTCAGAGACCTAGGCACTCAGGACAGTGCGCAGGGCCGCCGTCCGTGCTGAGGACCATGGCCGCCGTCACCCCCGTCATCTTCAAGGGGGTCAAGAATGCTGCGACAGGAACTGGGCTCAGGTTTAAACCTGTGTGTTTAACGGTTTAAGCCTTCTCACAGTGAATCTTTGCATCAGACGGTTTGGTCTGGAGCTGCCAGCACTGCCAGGGGCTCCAGTCCAGAGCCAAGGCAGCCTGCCAGCGTGTGGGGACGCTGCCATGGGCAGGAGCTGTCCTCCCTCCGAGGGGCGGTGGTGGCCAGGCCCGCCCCAGGCCAGAGCCCATGCCCGCAGGCTGCCTGGGGACAGGAGGCCACACTCTGCTCCGCTCTACACCTGGGCCCGAGTGTGTCTCCCGAGCACCTGTGCGTGTTCCCCTAGCGGCTCTGGGAATGGGCCTTCTGCATGAAGAGTCCGGCAGTGAGGCAGGGCTGGGCCCAGGACGGACAAGGAGCTCAGACACACAAGGGCAGGGCGGGGTCTCTGCGGGACCCACCCCTGGGTCCCCTCCCGAGGGCAGGGCGGGGTCTCCGCGGGATCCACCCCTCAGCCCCCCTCCCGCAGCCTGGGAGGAGGTGCGTGTCCCACGGGGCGGGGTGCACCTCTCCCTGGGAAAGCCCCTTCTCTTGTTCCTCCACCCCAGGTGTCATCACCAGGCTAGCCCGCAGAGCTCATACCTAGGAACTTACCCTGAGAGATTGTGAACATAATTGGATACTCTATGTCTTCTGACTTCAGAGATTTCCCCCCCTACTGTCCTACAGCACTTGCAGATTGGCTTTACTATGCAAACTAGAAGTTGGCACTAAAGCCATCTGTCCCCTGAGCAAAAGGGGAGGGATTGGGTGGTGGGTCACCCCCCCCCCCCGCCCCATGGCGGGTCTGTGCAGGGGGAAGCGGTCTCTACCCCGCTGCGCACAGTGCAGGACATGCAGGAAGAAGGGCTGTCTGGTAACTAACAAGGCACCATCTCATTAACGCTCCAACGACATTAAAGCAAACCTTAGCGCGGACAGAAGCACCAGAGTGCTAATCAATACCTACAGGTTTTTGCTTTTCTTCTTTTCCTGCTCTTCCAGAATAGCTTCCTTTAAGGAAACACACACAGCATTAGAACCTTAGCACCGCCATGGGTTTAACCCTAGAGCGACTGCATCCAACCTGTCCTAGAGTGACCGCAGCCGGTATGTCAACCCAGAGCTGCCATGCCTGGTTTCTTGGGTAGGATTCTATCCATAGCAGCAAGTTAGATCTCCAGGATCTAGTCATCAGTTCAAAAAAGAGTTTTCTTCAAATGATTGGAACAAGGTTTCTTTAAAGCAGGGTTCCCAGCGATTGGGTCATTCAGTTGACCCGAGGTCCTGAGCACATTTGACTGCATCTAACTGAGAGCAAAAAGTACACGTGGCTTCCCACGTGCAGGTAACATACGTGCACCATGTATGTAATCCTGGGATTTACTTAAAACGCAACTAACTGAAACTTTACGAGTCTAGAGGGGGGCGGGATCAGGAGCCGCTCAGGGCACCCAGGGTGCTGGGGGAGGGGGCGTGTGCTCGAGGGGCGTGGCTTCCCGGAGGCATGACTTCCGGGCTGTGTCAAGGGGGTGTGTCTTCACAGGGCATGCCTCTAGGGGCGTGGTCTACAGGGGCGTGGCCTCTCCGGGGCGTGGCCTCGCGTGGGCCTGGCCTCTCTGGGGCGTGGCCTCTCTGGGACGAGGCCCCACAGGGGCATGGCCTCACGTGGGCGTGGCCTCTCGGGGGCGTGGCCTCATGTGGGCGTGGTCTCTCCTGGACGTGGCCTTGCATGGGCCTGGCCTCTCAGGGGCGTGGCCTCTCCGGGGGCGTGGCTCTCCGGGGCGTGGCCTCCCCGGCATACCGAATGGGCCCGGTCCATTCTGCGCCTGGACCCCTCACGCACCCGGATGCTGTTCAGGATGGCAGCTGTCTTGCTCTCGGCGGCCTCTGCGTTTCCAATGAGGTAGTCCCAGGCGCAGAACACCCGCCAGCAGAAGGTGTAGTTCTCATCGGAGGCGCTGGCAAGGCTGGTGCGGGAGTTCTTGGCCATCCTGCGGGGAGAAGAGTGCGGGAGCCGGGTGGGCTGCCCCGGGCTGGGACTCCGGGCTGGGCTGCCCCGGGCTCGGGCTCCGGGCTGGGCTGCCC